GCTCTTCAGCTCAAGGCTAGCGCTCTACCACTTGAGCCACAGCACCACTTCCGGCTTTTTTCTTTTTTGCTTATGTGGTGCTGAGGAATCGAACCCAAGGCCTCTTGCATGCAAGGCAAGCGCTCTACCACTGAGCCATCTTCCCAGCCCCAGTGCTTTATAAATATTAAGATTTCCTTTATCCAAATTTGTTCTTCCCAAAATTTCCAGGATTTCTCAGAATAAATTCTAAACTGCTGTGGCTCTTCCTTCCTCCGGGTTCTTGTGATTTCCGTTCCCCTAAGCTGCTTTCTGGTGTGGAGATTCCTCTCCTGCAACTCTGTGTGTGTGTGTGTGTGTGTGTGTGTGTGAGAGAGAGAGAGAGAGAGAGAGAGAGAGAGATCAGGATAGAGCCAAGGCCCACACAGAGGCCTGGGTATCTTCTGGGCCTGGGCCTCTTGGGGACCCTTTTAAAAGCAGCTAGGCCCCACCTCACAGCAGGACAGCTTGAGAAATGGATGGAAAAGTTTCTGAGGGAAATGGCTTCCTCTGGGAAACAGCTCTCAGACTCAGCCCCCTTTCAGTGTTCCCGACAATTTCTGCTTTCTGGGCAGAGATGTTAGGAAAACAGTGAGTCACGTAGTGGATTCTGGGCCCGCAAGGGCCACACCCCCTTCCTCCTCATTGCCCTGGGAAGGACCAAGTGCCTGGGCTGGCTTTTTTTTTTTTTTTTTTTGAGACAGGATCTCTCTATGTGGCTTTCAAACTGGCTTTAAGTTCACAGTTCTAGCCGGGAGCCAGTGGTTCATGCCTGTAATTCTCTCTAGTCAGGAGGCTGAGATCTAAGAATCACAGTTTAAAGCCAGCCTAGGCAGGAAAGTCCATGAGCCTTTCATATCTAATAAACTACCAAAAAAAAAAAAAAGGCTGGAAGTAGAGCTTGGCTGAAGTAACAGAGCATTAGCTTTGGGGACAAAAGCCCAGATGCAGTGCCTAGAGTTCAAATTCCAGGACCAGCACACACACACACACACACACACACACACACACACACACACTAAGCCTGCTGCTGGTGGCTCATACCTGGAATCTTATACACTCAAGTGAGATCTGAGGATCATGGTTCAACCTGGACAAGAAAGCTCATGAGACTTTTTTTCTTTTTGGTTGGTTGTGGGGCCTGAACTCTGGGCCTGGGTGCTGTCCCCCAGCTCTTCAGCTCAAGGCAAGCGCTTTACCACTTGAGCCACGTACCACTTCTGGCTTTTTCTGCTTATGTAGTGCTGAGGAATCGAAGCTAGGGCCTCATGCATGCAAGGCAAGCACTCTACCACTGAGTCACCTTCCCAGCCCTCATAAGACTTTTATCTCCAACTAGTCACTAAAAAAAGCTGTAAGCAGAGTTGTGGCTCTGGTGGTAGAGTGCTCAGGGAAAACACCCAGGCCCTGAGTTCAAGCTCAAAGACTGGCATGCATGCGCGCGCGCGCACACACACACACACACACACACACACACACACAACTAAATAAATAAAATAACAGTCACCCTTCTGCAGCCTCCCGAGTAATGGGATGACTAGTATGTCCCAGTCTGATAATATTTAAAGATATTCTTTTCTTTATTTGTTTCTTTTTCTTTTTCTTTCTTTCTTCCTTCCTTCCTTCCTTCCTTCCTTCCTTCCTTCCTTCCTTTCTTTCTTTCTTTCTTTCTTTCTTTCTTTCTTTCTTTCTTTCTTTCTTTCTTTCTTTCTTTCTTTCTTTCTTTTTTGCCAGTCCTGGAGCTCAAACTCTAGGCTTGGGTGCTGTCTCTGAGCTCCTTTTTGCTCAAGGCTAGCACTCTACCACTTGAGCCCCAGTAACACTTCCAGATTTTTCTGGTGGTTAATTGGAGATAAGTCTCACAGACTTTCCTGCCCAGCCTGGCTTTGAACCATAATCCTTAGACTCTTGAGTAGCTAAGATTAAAGGCATAAGCCGCCATGCCATTTAAAGATACTCTTAAGAATCCATCTTTCCCTGTCTCTTGGCTCTGTGTTCCCCTGTGTGGGCTACATTCCCAGGCTCTACATGGAGATCAAGTGACTGCCAGCAGCTTACATCAGCCTTGCTGTTTTGATGTCTGGGGTGGGAGAGGTAGGGGGACAGAATATCAAGTATTGCTCCTCAGGGACTCTGATTGTATCATACAAATCCTCCTCTGGGTTGGGCCCTGCAGCCTGGGTTATTACATGCTGCTCTGATTGGTCAGACCTGAAGTCCTTAGGGTGACATTGGCTCTGCCTCAGTCCTTGAGGACCAATGAAAAAGAGTGACTAGTTGTATAGGGAAATCAGGATGAGATTGCAAAAGACAGATTGGCCATTGGGCAGATAGGCATGCAAGATGCACACCCTGGCTACAGCACCTATTGAGAGCAAGTGCCCAATTCAGAGTTCAAAACCTTAACTGATGGGTACCAGTGGCTCGTGCCTGTAATCCTCAATACTTAGAAAGCTGAAATCTGATGCTCAGCTGACCCTATGACTCTTATCTTCACTTAGCCAGCAAAAAGCTGGAAGTGGAGGTATGGCTCAAGTAGTAGAGGGCCAGTCTTGAATTAAGAAAAAGCCAGGCACCTGTGGCTCATGCCTGTAATCCTAACTACTCAGGAGGCTGAGTTCTGAGGATCCCAGTTCAAAGCCAGCCCAAGCAACCCAAGGCCGTGAGACTCTTATCGCCAATGAACCACCAGAAAACTTGAGCTGTGGCTCAAGTGGTAGAGCGCTAGCCTTGAGCTGAAGAGCTGAGGATCAGTGCCCATGCCCAGAGTTCAAGCCCGTGACCGACTAAAAAAAAAAAGAGTATGAGGCCCTGAGTTCAAGTCCCAGGCTAAGCATGTGAGCATGCACGTACGTGTGCGTGCACACACACACACACACACACACAAATAAATATATAAATAAATAAATAAAACCAAGCACTGGGCTCATGCCTGTAATCCTAGGTATTCAGGACAAGATCTAAGGATTGAGGTTTGAAGCCAGCCTGGCTTCAAAGTCCATGAGACTTTGGTGCTGGCAGAATCAGCACCAAAAAATAAAAAATAAAAACAACCCAAATCTCAAAGCCTCAGTATTGATTTAAAAAAAATAAAAAGATGCTCACCCTGGGTCTGCAATGGTTTCCTCTCTGCCTCCCCTGTGAGACTTGAGAAAACTTTCTAAAGGAGAGGACATTTGGAGCCTGGCATTGGAGATTGAGTAGGAGTTCTCCAAGGAGCCACCTGGGGGCGATAGTGAGCCGGTAATCCAGTGAGTAGCTGGGTAGGTTTCAGGTAGGAAGCTGGATCATTGTCTCCTCTTGGTATTCTAGTGACTGTCCCTTCTGCCGGATCTGCCATGAGGGAGCCAATGGAGAGAGCTTGCTGTCCCCTTGTGGCTGCACTGGCACGCTGGGAGCCGTGCACAAGAGCTGCCTGGAGAAGTGGCTTTCCTCATCCAACACCAGCTACTGTGAGCTGTGCCACACGGAGTTTGCTGTGGAAAAGCGGCCTCGGCCTCTCACAGAGGTAATTCTTGCCAACTTGTGCTGGGGTGGGCCTGGCCTACGCAGGGGAAGGATGGCAGTGGGGGGAGTGGGGATGCAGATGCTACCCTGGGGGGCCCTGGGCTGGCTGGGGAAATGGACCTCCTTGTCATCCCTTTGTAACTAGGCCTGTGCTTGCAGGCCTGCCAAACCCTGTATCCTGACCTGCAAGTTCCTTTCCTTTTTTTTTTTCCCTTTTTTTTTTTCTTTTGTGTGTGTGTATCTGCACGCATGCATGCGTGCTGTACTAGGGGCTTGAACTCAGGACCTGGGTCCTGTCTCTTAGCATTTTTCTTTTTTCTTTTTGGTTGGTAGTAAGGCCTGAACTCTGGGCCTGGGCGCTGTCCCTCAGCTCTTCAGCTCAAGGCTAGCACTCTACCACTTGAGCCACAGCACCACTTCCAGTCTTTTCTGCTCATGTGGTACTGAGAAAATTGAATCCAGAGCCTCATGCATGCAAGGCAAGCACTCTACCACTGAGCCACCTTCCCAGCCCCTTAGCTTTTTTCTTGGTACTGACCCTGGGGCTTGATTCAAGGCTCTGTCCCTTAACTTTTTCATGCAAGGTTGTTGCTCTATCACTTGACCCACAGCTCTACTGTCAGCTTTTTTTTTTTCTTTTCTTTTTGGATCTGGTCGTGGGGCCTGAACTCTGGGCCTGGGCACTGTCCCTCAGCTCTTCAGCTCAAGGCTAGCGCTCTACCACTTGAGCCATAGCGCCACTTCCGGCTTTTTTCTTTTTGCTTATGTGGTACGGGGGAATTGAACCCAGAGCCTCAGGCATGCAAGGCAAGCGCTCTACCACTGAGCCACCTTCTCAGCCCCACCAGGCCCAGCTTTTTATTGGTTGAGATAAGACCTCATGAACTTTTTGCTCCAGACTGGCCTTTAACATTGTCCTCTGGATCTAAGTCTCCACAGTAACTATGATTACAGGTGGAACCTCTATGTCTGGGTGAAACTTACTTCTTGAAAGAAGCTGGTTACAGTGGTTCAACTGTTTGGAAGGTGGATTACTAGAGCTCTTCATTTGAGACCAGCCTGGGCAACAAAGTGAGACCCTAACTATGAGTGAATGAACGAATGAAGAATGACTATTCAATGCACTTACCAGTATAAATAGTCATGCATTGTATAGTGATGTTTTCTACAACAGACCCCATAGTGGTCTCCAAAGTGTATGTTGCTAATAATAACATAGCTGTTATAGTATATAAAGACATCATGTTAGTTGGGAATGTGGTTTAATGGTAGAGTGCTTGCTTAGCATGCATGAAGCCCTGGGTTCAATTCTTTAGTACCACAGAAACAGAAAAAGCCAGAAGTGGCACGGTGGCTCAAGTGGTAGAGTACTAGCTTTGAGCGAAAGAAGCTCAGGGACAGTGCCCTGAGTTCAAGACCCAGGACTGGCACATTATCCTTGAACAAGAAAGCTAAGGGATAGCACCCAGGCTCTGAGTTCAAGCCTCAGCTCAAAAAGCAAAAAAAGGGGACTGGGAATGTGGCTCAGTGGTAGAATGCTTGCCTTGCATGCATAAGGCCCTAGGTTCAATTCCTCAGCACCACATAAGCAGAAAAAGCCAGAAGTGGCATTGTAGCTCAAGGTAGAGCACTAGCCTTGAGCTGAAGAGCTGAGGGACAGTGCCCAGGCCCAGAATTCAGGCCCCACAACCGACAAAACAAAACAAAATGAAACAAAAAAGCAAAAAAAAAAAATTCCAATCAGTAATCAATTTAGGACTGTTTTTGTGTATATGTATGTGTGTATATATGTGCCGATTCTAGGGCTTGAACTTAGGGCCTGGAGCTGTTCCTGAGCTTTTTTGCTCAAGGCTGACATTCTACCCCTTGAGTCACACATAACCCCATTTCTAGCTTTTTGCTGGTTAGTTGGAAATCAGTCTCCTAGACTTTCCTGCCTGGGCTACCTTTGAACCCTTGATCCTCAGATCTCAGCCTCTTGAGTAACTCGGATTACAGGCTTGAGCCATGGGTGTCTGGCATCCATGACTGCATTTGTAAAATAGAAACAGTATGAAACCAAAGATACTGTTTTGCAGTCTGCTCCTTTTCACTTTGCTGATGTCCTTTGGGAAGAAAAAAAAAAGAAGGCAGCCAGCCAGCAGTCCTGCATTGTTTGAGTGTGCCATATTTATTTAGCCAATCCCTTTGACAGACGCTGGGATTCTTTCCAGTGTGGCTTTATTCCTCTTTCCCTTCTTCCCTCTTCCCTTTCTCTCCCCCCTTTTTCTCTTTCTCTCTTCCTCTCTTTTCTTTTTCTTTTTGCAGGTCTTGGAGCTTGAACTCAGTGCCTGGGCACTGTCCCTGAGCTTCTTTTGCTCAAGGCTAGCTCTCTACCACTTAAGTCACAGTACTACTTCCAGCTTTTTCTGAGAAGTTTATTGGAGATAAGTCCCACAGACATCCCTGTCAGGGCTGGGTTTGAACTGCAATCCTCAGATCACAGCCTCCTGAGTAGTTAAGATTATAGGCATGAGCCAGGAGGAGTGCCCAGTTCCTCCTCCCTTTCTTTTTCTCTTTCTCTCCTTCCTATCCTTCCTTCCTTCCTACCTTCCCTCATTTCTTCTTTCTCTCCCTTCTTCCTCCTCTCCTTCTATCCCCCCTGCTTCTGCCTCTGTTTCCCCAGAGTTGAGATGGAAACCAGGGTCTGACACATGTTAATTAGACAATCACTCTACACTGAGCCACACCTTCTTTTTAGCACAGGATAATACTAGATAGATGTGCATTCATTCATTCATTCATCCATTCATTTACATAGTGAGGTGCCCTTAGGCTTCCATGTTATGTGGCTGACTGACATTTAATCCTTTTCCAAGAGCCTGGATGATTTCATTCCCTCAAAGCAGAAAAGGGAGCGGGGTGCTGGATTCTTGCTGGGGTGCTGGAATGCCTCACTTTTCAGGACTCACTGAGGCCCCTTTTCCTCCCTTGGGCATGGAGCCTCTCTGGACCTTCCCCCTGACAGCAGGACTGCTCCACAGGTCTCTTTCCGCTACCATTGCCAGCTGTATTCCGAGTGGAGGAGAACTAACCAGAAAGTTCGGCTAAAGATCCGGGACACAGATGGCTCTGAGAACTCACGCCAATCACCACTGGCTGCTGGACTCCTTAAAAAGATGGCGGAGGAGACCCCTGTGTGAAAGCCAGGCTGCCAGGACCCTGCAGTGTGTACAGGGGCCAGAGTGACCTGGCAATGCCCTGGCGTTTGGAAGGCCGGAAACTGCCCGATCCTTCTTGCACGGCCAGAATGCTTCTCAGGCTGAAAACCACGCCAATTGGAGATCCTGTGTGAATATAGTTTGGGTTTTTTCTTTCTTTGCACACTAGTACATGACAAAGACAGACGGACGTGGTCCTGAGCTTGGATGGAGCAGGCACTCTGATCTCTCATGTGTGCTTGGCGCCTCTTGGGCCAGCAACTGTGGCCAGTTGTGTCAAGGGTGTCCATTGGGCTGGAAGGTTCCAGCAAGCTTCTTGCGCTTTTCTGCACCTTGGCAGGCTTGCTTTCCTGGCACCCTTGACTTTATAAAGTTGCATTGCGTTTCCAAAACCCACCCCTGAATGAATAAAAGGAGCTCTTGCTGGACAAAATGGATTTGTCAGGTACATTTCTAAACTTCTCAAAGGGAAGGACTATCTGAGGGAAAATAAAACATCCTTGGCTTGTTTTGAGGGATCCCTTATTAAGCCCCCCCAGGAAGAAGCAAGCTGAGTTTTAAAGTGAGGAGCAGGTAGCAGGGTTTTATAATAAATGCTTAAGATGAGCTTGGCATTGCACCCTTGTAATATCAGCCCTGAGAATTCTGAGGTAGGATTGCATGTTCTATACAATCATGGCTTAGGCTATATTTAATGATTTAAATGTATACAATGGGTTGGGGTATGGCTCAGTAGTAGAACATGTGGTTAGTCTATGTGAAGCCCTGGTATTGTTAGAACAGTTTCTTTGCATTGTCCATGAGTAGGCTAGTTCCTTGGCATTTATTACTCACTAGTGGTGCTATTGTCCACGTTTATCTGGTGTCACCATGGATGAGGCCCCATTTTGAGTTTTCTTGGGTCTCCTCCCCTTCTCTGAGTCCTGCTATCAGTTATCTTATAGGTGATTAAATTTGAGATCCAGTGCAGAAAAACCTTTATCTGAGTCCTTACAAAGCTGCCCTGATCAAGGCTGAGCTGTGTGTCTTACCTTCTAGGATGACAGAAAAGAAGTTGAATGTGGTCATGCTCATAGGACCTATTTCTTGAACACTTGTGTGTGTGTGTGCTCTTACTAGGGCTTGAACTCAGGGTCTAGGCACTGTTCTTAGCTTTTCTACTCAAGGCCAGCTCTACTACTTCAACTGTGACTCTTAAGAGTGTCACAGACGCTCCTGCTGGGGCTAGCTTCAAATTTTGATCCTCAGATCTTAGCTTCCTGAGTAGCTAGGATTGCAGGTGTGAGCCATGGGTGTCCAGCTTTCTGATCACTATTTGCTTGCTGAGCTAGTTCCATTCCAGGGCTCTGTTTACGTTTAATGCTCAGCCCTGAAAGAGGGCTTCTGGGGAATCTCTCTCTCTCTCTCTCTTTTTTTTTTTGCCAGTTGTGGGGTCTGAACTCTGGGCCTAGGCACTGTCCCTTAGCTCTTCAGCTCAAGGCTAGCGTTCTATCACTTGAGACACAGCACCACTTGTGGCTTTTACTACTTATGTGGTGCTGAGGAATTGAACCCAAGGCCTCATGCATGCAAGGCAAGCACTCTACCACCGAGCCACCTTCCCAGCCCTGGGGAATCTCTTTTTAACCCCCAGTTTACAGATGTGCAACAAACTGAGCTCAGAACAGTTGGGTAAGTTGCTCAAGGTTACAACTGATGGATTTGCTTTCTGTTGTTTTTGCACAAATATAGGCCTGGTACATAACTCTTTTTTTTTTTTCCCATGGGGCCTGAACTCTGGTCCTGAGCACTATCCCTCAACTCTTCAGCTCAAGGCTAGCACTCTACCACTTGAGCCATAGTGCCACTTCTGGTTTTCTGGTGGTTTATTCGAGATAAGAGTTACAGTGCTTTTCCTTCCCAGGCTGGCTTTGAACCATAATCCTCAGCTCTCAACCTCCTGAGTAGCTAGGATTATGGGTGTAAGCCACCAGTGCCCTGCATAACTCACTTATAAAGAAGAAAAAGAGGGGCTGGGAAGGTGGCTCAGTGGTATAGTGCTTGCCTTGCATATATGAGGCCCTGGGTTCTATTCCTCAGCACCACATAAGCAAAAAGAAAAAAGCCCGAAGTGGCGCTGTGGCTCAAGAGGTAGAGCGCTAGACTTGAGCTGAAGAGCTGAGGGACAGCCCCAGGCCCAGAGTTCAGGCCCCACTACCGGACCGCCCCCCCACAAAAAAAAAAAAGAAAGAAAAAGATATGCTAAGATGGGAAGGGAAAGGGAAGCCAGTTTTGCAAAGGGGAAAAACCCAGGTGCTGGTGGCTCATGCCTGTAAGCCTAGCTATTCAGAAGATTGAGATCTGAGGATCATAGTTCCAGAGGCTGTGACTCTATCTCTATTTAATGAGCAAAAAGCCAGAAGTGAAACTGTGGCTTAAGTGGTAGAGTGTCAGCCTTGGGTGGGAAAAGCTGAGAGAACTCCAGGCCTAATTCAAGCCCAGTACTGGAAGAAAAACAAAACAACTAGAAAAATGTTGGGAGCTGCTAGGCCTGTAGGGAAGAGAGTGGAGAAGACTTGGAAAGGCTGGAACCCTGAGATTGCTCATTCCGGCTCAGGCAGGTGGGCGGGCCTCACAGACATCAGGTGAGTGGCGAGCTGCTTGTGTTTTCTTGGGATCATAGCCAAGCACGTTAGCTCTCTTGGCCTCTTAGCTCTCTTGACCCACACAGCTTGGAACTCACTTTGGAATGTGGCGCCCCTAGAAATGATGTAAGGATGCTCCAGAGATGCCATTAAGGAGAGGAAGCAGTTTCCTTTGTAAATCTAATACTTTCCGATTACACGAGGGAGAAAGGTCAAGTTTGATGTTACCCTGTCTATAATAATCCTTTAGACCTTGCAGGACCCCACCTCTGGTTACAGAAAGATGGCAGTGACTAGGTCCAGGTGGGTGCATGTAAGTTTGCGCAGAGCGATGCTTCTCCAACTTGACTTGTTGGGCCGGCAGAGTGTTTGAACCCAAGTTTGTCCCGGGCAATGAATGAAAGCCACGAAACGGTTAGTCTCCGGCTGCGGGGGGCGAGGGGCGTGGCCCTGGGTGAGGGGCGTGGCCCGAGGCTTCCAGTCGCGGCGCGCGCAGGCGTTACTGGTCACGTTGGGTCACGTGAGTGCGCAGGCGCATTTCCGCGCAGCTCCGCTCTCTTACACAAAGCCCAGACGCGGAGAAAATGGCGGCAGGGGTCGAAGCAGCGGCGGAGGTGACGGCGACGGAGCCCAAAATGGAGGAAGAAAGCGGCGCGCCCGGCGTGCCAAGCGGCAACGGGGCTCCGGGTCCGAAGGGGTGAGTATCCCAGGGTTCCTGGCTCCCGGGTCGGGCTCCCGGTCGGCGGCCTCCCCCTCAGCGCGGCCTCGGCTCGGGCCTTTCGCTGCAGGTGGTGGGGGCAGCCAAGGCTGTGAGGCGGGGATCCGGACGGCCCCGCGGCGCGTCTCCAGGCTCGTTTCCTGCCGTTGCCGGGCCTTAAGTACCTCAGGGCCAGACAGACACCGTTGGCGGTGCAGCCGCTGCGCGTAGCCGGGTGATGGCGTGGGTTCTGGAGTCGGAGATTCCCGAGTTCGAGACCCGCTTGCTTCTGAAACTGATCTTGGACGAGTGGTTTCAACTCCTCTCCCAATCCCCGGGGCCTTTCGGCCTCGGATCTCAGTTTCCCGAGCCTGAGAGTGGGGGGAGGGGGGAAGAGTGCGCGCGCAAAGCCTCTCGCGCGGTCAGCCGGGGATAAACGGCTGCCGAGCCGGGGTCGGGGATCCTACTCCACCCCCGACCCCCACCCCACCCCTCGGCTTGGTCCCTGCCTTCGAACCTCCCCGGCTGGTCCCGGCCCAATGAGTCCTCCGATGCTTCTCGCGCCTCCTCCCCAGGTGCGCAGTAGGTATTAGGAGAGAATTGCTACTCTGTTGAGAAAGGAAGATAACTCCGTTATTTAGGGTCACCCGTTTCCACACTCCCATCATCTTTCTCATCTTTCAGAGCCCTGCTTTGAACTCAGCCTTAGGGTCCCTGGTTGTTGTTGTTGTTGTTGGTATTATTTTGTGTGTGTCTTTTTGTTTGTTTTTGTTTGTTTCCTTAAAGGAGGAAAGGATCAGCTGTGTTGCCTTGGAACTCAACTTAATGATAGCAGTCACTTGAGAAAAAGACTCAGAGAAGGGTTTTTGGCTTCAAATGCCAGCAGTCGTGGGCACACAGTGCTAATATCCGTTCTCCCCCCCCCCCAATTTCCCTACATAAAATTTGCCGGTTTTAAGTGTGCAGTTCAGTGACATTGAGCACATTGACCGTGTTGGGCAAGTGTCACCACTGTCCTTGTTCTGAACTTGTTTTGTTTTCATCCTGTGAATAAAATGTAAAATGTAGCCATCAGCCACTAAACTCCCCCCCCCATTTCCTGCTGTGCTTTGCTCAAACTTTTTAAGGAGTGAAACTTTGTGATACACTCTGCGGATTGAAAATAAATGTATTTAATGAGCATGCACTTGAGTATTGGCTACTTTACTATTATGTTTCTTCTGTAGGAAATTCCAGCCTCTTAGTTGAGGAAGAAAAACAGTTTCTGGTCCTTGGAACTCAAAGAGAAAGGGCTGGGAATGTAGTTAAGTAGTTCACTGCGAGTTTAATCCTCAGTTCTGAGGGCAACAACCAAACAGCAACACGAGAAAAGTGTCCTCTATTCCCAACACTTTACTGTGGAAGCCTCTGAATAGGGATGTGTCTTCCTACCCATTTGTTGATGGTGTTGATGTGGGGGAGAGGGGGCTTGAATATGTGTTATAGCGAAGTATTGTACTAAGAATATTCCTAGCTTCATTTTGACTTTTTTCAGCATTTGTTTCCAGGAGACTTGTTGAAGGGCCTATTTGGAGGGCTTTAAAGATACTTTTATGTTGGGGCTGGGAAGGTGGCTCAGCGGTAGAGAGCTTGCCTTGCAT